CCACCTCTGGGGGGGACACTGCAGGGCATTCCTAAAGACAAGAGGATAGTGAGAGGAAGGGAAAGAAAGGCCTGGGAGGCAGCTGGTGAAGAAGAGAGCAGCATTGTTTCAGGTATTGCCAGGGGAGGACCTCGGCGGGGTCGAGCAGAGCCTGGTTATTAGAGGGTGGTCCAACCGCTGACAGCTCTCCAGCGAACATGCGGTGGGAGAGTAAGTTACAAAGCTGCAGTTCGCCTTCTGCCTCCTTCCCCACTCTTGTGCCAGTGCACCTCGGGCTGCAGGGCTTGCTGCGACCGCTGCCGGTGGCTTGGTAAGCTTCCCCGCAGTGAGCAGGGCCTGCTGCTCGAGAGATGTTTGGGGCCAGCTTTGTCCTTCGTGACTAGGCAGCATCTCTGCAGGAGCCCCACTCCGATCCAGGCACTGGCGCGCTGCTGCATTGCTGTGCTCCTGAGCATGTTTGCCCAGAGAAAATAAAATCTTTCTCCTTTCCAGACCCCCATTCTGTCTGTTACCATGCCATGCCGCATCTATGATGTCCAAAATGTTTCAAAAATTGGGGATCGGGTCATTTTACATAGCCATGTTGTTGTTTCGCTTCGGTTTACATTTGTTTGTCAAATTAGGGTTTTGGTTTTATTTTACTCTCAGCATCCAAACAGCCGTGGGCTGTGAAATCCCCAGTGGACATTTCCCTGCCCTTTCTCACCCTGTGTGTGTTGCTGCTGCTCAGGCGGCAGAGCGGGTGCCTGCAAAGTCGGACTGCTGGCATCCGTAGGGACGCAGGTTGGCAACTCACGGATACTCAGGTACTGCGGGGTGGCTGCTGTCCCAGGCACTTACAGATCACTCTTTCAGTAGCTCAATAAATAAAAATTGCATCGTATACAATGGTCCCATGCCAAAGGCCCTTCTGGTGATTGACTGCTGAGTGCTAGTCTGGGTTAAGGCTGATGATGGTCAAACAGAGCACACAGAGGCGACATCAGAGAGAGGCACAGCTTTGTTGCTGGATTTGGCGTGTCTTTTCATTAAGGCAAGTTTTGACATGTAAAGGCTGTTCAGTCCATTTAACAAGTCTGATCCTTCCTCTTTTGATCCCTGATGCTTTCCCTGTTCTGCTGTCTGTCCTTCAGCCTTCAGGTCTTTATATATTTTCTTGGGTGAAATTTTACTGATTTTCCATTATCCCCATGACTAATAAAAGGTATCTAGCCGCAAGAGAGCAAGGTAAGACATGACAAAGGGAACATGTAAGTCCTCAGCAAAGGGCTGAACATGTTCAGCAAAGTGATGGGTATCTTGCTGCAGGCACCCTTGTCCTGGTTTCTCATCTTTACATGTCCTTTTGTTTCTGTCTGTAATGGCTGATCCTTGCTCCTGGCTCTTGACTCCTTTCCTGCATTTCCAAACTGTAGCTCCTGACAATGAACTTCCCTTCTTGCTTCATCTCAGTTTTTGCTCTTGTCTCCCCTCCTGGGAGGTGGCGAGTCTGGGAGGGGCATTTCAGTAGTCAGAACTTGTTAACAAGACAGCAAAAGAGCCATGAAACTGTCGGGGTTTGATTCTCACGCACAGAATGAGTTTGTAGCTGCCTTCTGCTGCGTCTCGGCTTGTTCCAGCACAGTGATGCGACAGCAGTACAGCAAAAGGGGACATCTTTGCCTCCTTGCTTCGGGAGTGGAATGAAGGGTGGTTGCTTGGGTGCATTTAGACTGAAGGTATGTTTTGCTTTTACGCTAAGGATTTATCTACATAAAGCTCTGGTTAATTTTTGGCAGAGATCTCCATGCGCGAGGAACATCTCTGGCTGTGTCCTGTGGCTACATGCTTTTCAGGATAGTTGGAGACCAGTGTGTAGACACTGAGCTGGTGGAGTACAGCAGTTTTATGTACAACACATGAGCTTCACTAAATTGACTGCAGTGTATAGCTGTGCCATTTACTGGTGAACACACTGGTGGAGTACTGACTCTTGTATTGCTTTTAAAATTCCTTAATACAATGTTTCAGAAAGTCATTGCAAAGTGAAACTTCCAATGCAAGCTTCCTAGAGTGTATCCCGATTTGGACTTTTGGCAGCTGTAGCTCCCACCTGGGCCCACCCTTTGCCATGCAGTACTGATCATGGCTCTTTACGTTCCTTGTGTGCGCCGAGGCTTCTTGCCTAGCCGGTTCAAGTCTCCCCATTTTGGGCTCGCTAGTGCTCTTCTCTCATCTTACCCTAGTCTTACCACCAAACCAGAATTAGTTCTACCTGCACAGTCTCCCTTTGTGAGTCCTTGTTTGCCAGCAGCCCCAACTTGGACTCTGCATTGCTAGTTTCTGCCCCCTGCTCTCATGCAGCCTCAGATGAACTCCTTGATGTTATTGCTCAGCTGGTCCCCATTCCTTTTTTCCCAGCAACCCAACTGGTACCCATCTAATTACCAGCTGGTCTCCCCATGTTGTGTCCAGCCTTAACTTCTGCCCTTCCCACAAAACCCACCAACACGCTCCCTTTTTCTCCCTTGCTGGTTCAGTCCTCTTCCAGAACTGACTCTGGTTTCTGTTACTCCATCAGCCACCTCCTGTTGTGATTTCATGAGGCATCTTACTGCAATCTGCTCTTTCTGTCCTGCTCCCCTTCACTCTGCATCAGCTGGTGTCTGCATACAGTCCAGGTGAGGTAATGGGAAAACATTGGCCAGCTCTCAGTCCTGTAGTCACCTGGAACAATCACCTGGGGAGGGTCTGGCTGCCCTGTAAGCCCAGGATGGAGTGTGGCAGTCTGACCTGGAGACACACAGCCTGGGAGAAGCTCCTAAGTGCCCAGGAGGGCAGATAGCACAGCCCAGCACATGGCTGGGGCCGCAGTGATCGGCTCGGGTTGGTAGTTGGAGTCTTTCTGAAGGTGGGTACTTTTGGCTTTGCAGGCAGTTATTAGACTATTGTAAATTGATTGGGTTGATAAGCCTATTAAAAATCTGACTTTAGGCTGTTAGGTGTTTATGCAGAATCTTTTCACCTCACAGTGTGACTAAAAAGGGGAAAACAATCCTGTGTGACTCTGCTGCTGCCTAGAAAGCAAATGAATCAAGTGTTTTGTTAACTTAGACAACCCCTAAAGCTGAGAAGCACAGTTTAGCTTGGGCATCCCCATGCCCGTGTCTGTCTGGGGTCTTCCTGACATCCCAGAAAGCAGCTGGGACAGGCTGTGTGACGTGTCGGAGGAGCCTATGCTGTACTCGGTAGTCACCAAGTCCTTTGCAAAGAGTTACCTGTATTTTGAACTGCACTGGCGTCTTGCTTAGCCTCACCTGCCCTGGAAGGGGCAGGCAGCTGTGCTGCTCTCAGGGTCAGGAGTTTTTCCCATTTCTAGCCTCGCTTTATTCTAGAACATTTTACAGTTGCTTGTTTGAGTTTAAATAGTTCGTGTTTTGTCCCTGGTGCTTGATCTCCTGATACAGTTCCAGGTTTTTGGTTCTTATCCTAGAGTGGACCCTGTTTTTCCTGATTACTCAGTAGCCTTTCTCTGTACATGTTCCAGCGTGACTTAATTTAACTTGTACAGGGATGACCAAGACAGTCACCCCATCTCAGAGACATAGCAGTGCTTCTGTGGCTCGTGTTAACCCTTCCGCCATGGAGGTGTCCTGGAATCTGCCTCTTTGATCCAGCCAGAGAAGGGCTTAAAGAAAAACGGTTGCTGAGACAGTGATTTTCTTCTCTTTTTCCCCCCACTCACTAGAACACTGTGCTGTAGTCCAGGCTCCCCAGCAAACACATACTCCAGGAGCCCTCTGCCTGCCTTTACGCTGATCATTTGTGCCGCTGAGACGGAGCTATAGTCAAAACTAAAGATGCCGCTCTTCTTCCGCAAGAAGAAACCCAGCGATGATGCTCGGAAGCGCCTTGAATACCAAATGTGCCTGGTGAGCGATGCTGAGGTCTTTCCTGTTCTCTGTGTCTAGTCCTGGGTGCCAGGTGAATTGGTACGTCCCCTGCGTTGCCAGTAACCATGTCACTGATCCCACAGACAGCAGATTGTCTTCCTGATGTACATCAGAGAATTCCTGCTTCCCTGTCTCCCTTTGCCCTCCCACCCACAGCTCCCTTTTGTGCCGCTTCTGTCCCTTTCTGCTGCTGTGGTTCCACCTAACATCCTCCACCCCTCCTGCCACCCTGCATCTGGGACCCTGTCTCTCCTTTCTCCTCCATGCCCCTTCGCTCTCACAGATCCCCCAGCTTGCTTTTCCTACCCAGGAACCTGGGACATCCCCTTTCCCATCATAACTGCCTTTTTTTTTGCCCGTCTTCTGCTTCTCATTATTATTTCGTTTATTCCTATCATTCAGAGGATTAACTTGTCAGATGCTGCTCTTTGTTTTCCTGGACTGAGATTTGGCCAGGATCCTCTGGGGTCGATCCTCAGCAGGTTGCTGTCGTGCCACTGGGGTCGGCAGAACTACCTGCCTGACAGCAGCCCCAGAAACTCCTGCAGAAATTCATTTATTGCACCAAAAGGTGTTTTCTACAGTTTGGTTTCCTGGTTGCTTTTCCTTGCTGCAGCTGTGGCAGCACACACTTTGTTTCCAGCATTGTCACTGAGTTAGCTGCAGCAGGGGACTGTCACTGCATGTTCTAGGGAGGGAGCAGGTGAGTAGTGCAGTCAATACGCAGCAACAGGCTGTACGTTTCTGCGTGGTCTAATTCTCTGAGTGCCTGCCTTCTCTCTCCAGGCAAAGGAAGCTGGTGCTGATGACATTCTTGACATATCCAAGTGTGAACTCTCAGAGGTATGTTCCACAACTTGCAGTATGAGCTCGCAGGTCTGCCTTCTCTCTGTGCTTCTTGTTACTGTCCCATTTAGTGTCATGTCTATGACAGAAGTGGCCTTGTTACTGCTCTGCTTCTTCCCAGGACTCCTGAGCTCTGGCTTTCAGGTGAGGGTGGCTTCTCCTTTTTTTTTGTGGGAGATTGCCTGTCCTACCTGGGGCTTCCAGGGCATTTCTGTCCTGGGAATGCTTTTTCATTTGACAAGGTGGGAAGAGTGGAGTGGTCTCATATCCTCCACCAGTACCTTGGTAGGACCCTACTTCGGGACCTCATGGCCTAATTTTGCAAGTCAAAATGGAATTTGTTTGCCAAAGGCTGACTGTTTCTAGTCTCTGAGCTGCAAAGTCTGCCACCGGCGCTTATTTTTCCGTACAAGTGAAAATCCTTGGTTCCAGGCTGCTGGTTAAGGATGGAAATCTCAGTTCCAGCTTGGCTTCTTTCATGTCAGCCAGCTAAATTAGAAACAAGCTGTCTGCTGGAGAGTGAGCGGTTCGTGACAGCTTGCCAGGCTTTCAGAGGAGACACGGCTTTTCGTTCTGGCAGCCAGGCAGTGCTGTTAAGCAGAAGTTCTATTTCACTTTCCATTTTTATTCATGGTCCTGTCCTTTTAAAACACGTAGGTACCTGTGTAACCTTTTGTCACAGGATGCCTTTGCCAGACAAGCTAATAGATACTGCACTGCTCTTTGGGGAGAGATTTGGGACCATCCTGGAGAGGATAGCTGTCTGCTGTGCAGTGTGAAACGGCTTTGCTGAGACTTTGGGATGTTTTGTTCCAACATCTGATCCAAGCCAACAGCATCTTGTGGGTAGGTTTGTGAGCTGTGCGGGACGGTCTGTGAGGCAGTCTGGGTACAAAGGTGGCACACAGAAGATGCACACTGAGCCAGCTCCATTCCTAGATGCAGCTGGTCTTGGATCCCCAGGGGCTCCTTTTGGATTGGTACCATAAAACTCTGTCTTGCTTGTCTTCTTTTTAGCCTTCACAGTTTCTGTAAATAAAGTGAGGCATCAGTTTGGTTTTAAAATTAACTCTGGGCAGCAGTTTGGGCAATGCCAGTTCCATGCTGCAGAGCAGGGCAGGGTGCTCAGAGCCTTGGCTGGTGTGGGCTGAAATTGCTGCAGCGTCCCTTTTCTGACTGCCCCTCTCTTGCAGAGCCCAGGACAAAAGGACACTCCATCCTGCCTGTTGCTCACCTTTCTCAGCCCACTGTACCGTGTTTGCCGAGGGTGCAAAACCGTAGAATGTATTTGTATGGTGGATAAGTGAAAATACACCTCAACTATTGAGTCATCTGCACATTGAATATTAAATTATGCAAGCTTGGAGTCCTGCCTGAACGCCAGGCCGTTCTGTGCTATGGATGGCACTGTGGTGTTGTGGAGAGCCACCACAAGCTGTTTAAATGGAAGCTAACCGGGAAGAGCTGGCATCCCGTGCTAAAGCCAGGAGCCAGTGATTTGAAGGATCACCTGTGTTTTCATTGAAGTTAATTACTCACATTTTACAGGCGGATACTGTAGAAGTGCTTACGAAGATAATATCTTGAAAAGTCTGACATAACTATTTTTAAATCGTTTTCAGGTTCCTTATGGGGCCTTTGCAACTTGTAAAGTCTTGCAAAAAAAGGTAATGTTGCGATCAGAAATTATTAGATAATTCTATTGTTATGCTCGAGTGTTACTGTTGTGTTTGAAACGGCTGGATGTGGTTGTTTATATGTTGCTTCAGAAGTTTTCTCGTAATGAATTTGGCCACTTGTACAGTACTACATAGAGAGCAGTTTGGGTAGGACTAATCCTGCCCGTGCACTTTAGAGCTAACTTTTGTCATGAAAGGCGAGGTGATTGTTTCTATCTTAGCCTGTCTAATGATACTTCTCATGTAAGACACTAGGCTTTATTTAGATCTCATGTTAAGTATTTGACCTTCTGTGAAAATCCATTTATTTTAATGTTTTATATGGTACTGAATAAGGTAGTAAGCTCCTATACAGCCTCTGCAATTAAATCTCAACAAATGTGCTTGTTCTAGACAGCAGCTTCTCTTGTGTTCATGTTTCAGTGGGATTTTTCCTCCTCAGGTGCTGATTATCCATACGAATAATCTGACATCTTTAGTTCCAAAGTCCTGCAGCCTCCTGAGTCTCATAACGCTGAAGGTAATTGTCATTCTTAACAGTTGATCTGCAGCCTATTTCCTTGCCTTCTAGCTGCAATAAAACACACTAGCCCAAATAAATCCCTTCTGCCTGACTGTCTTCGCCAAGGATAGGTAACAAGGTGTGAAGCCTGGCTTTCCTAGGTTTGCCTCCCACACAGACAGCTAGCAGTCACCGAGAGGTCTGTATGAAATCATAGTCAGTGCCAGGACTCATTTATCCTCTTCATAATCCCACACTTTCCCCCTCAACGGTGTCTCACGAGGGTGGTCAGTCAGGACTGAGTGTGTTATGGGTTAGATCCATCTCTATTCTGCACCGGTGGGTCGTTTGAGTGTGAACGAAACCGGTGGTGGGTGTGATGAGGCTGTATTGCTGTACCTGCCAGGTAAATGCTGAGGGATTCCAGCTCCACCACCCTGGTGCTGCGGTTCCACAAGAGGCAGAGTCACTCCGGCCACTCACCTCTCCCGGTGGAGGAAGGTCTCCAGGCACAGACCTGCCCTCTCCCTGTGCCAGTGCTGGTGTTGGAGCAGTTCAGCTCACTGATCCTGTAGAAAATGCCTGTTTTCTGCCAGGCTGGCTCCATGGAGACGATTTACCAGTTCTGTCAAACAGCTCCCTTGGTGTCACTGCTCTCCCTAGTCTTTTCTTTGTTTATCGATGTATAGAGGGTTTTCAAAAGACCTACAAGACCCAAGTGTCTATGTCTCCTTGAAAACCTGTGCCACTTTTCAAAGCCCCATTGGAAGGGAAGTAATTTTCATTGCCAGATAATTCATGACCTTTCATTCTTGCACTGTGACATCTTCTCCCAACCTTGTTCGGTGAAATCATCTACTCTTGCAGGTTCTAGATCTGCATGACAACCAGCTGGCATTGCTGCCTGCTGACATTGGCCAGCTGACATCTCTTCAGGTAACTTACTTGCAGCTGCATGTCAAGTGTCTGCAAAGGGCGTGTTACAGGGCAGCAAGAATAAGGGGTTACTGCTAATTATTTTATAGTTAAACACAAATGATGGTGCTCATATTGTCAGATCTATCTTGTTGACTTGGCATCTGTTGAACTGGCTGTTGGAGAGGGAGAGCAGAAGAGCAGGCATGATAAATTGCAGAGTCGCAGCTTAGTGCAAGGGCTGTCAGTCCAAACGGCTCGCACTGCCGAGTAGGTGATAGGAGCAAGCAGAGCTGGAGCTTCCAGTCCTGTTGGTTTCCCAAAATACTGAGGCTTTACCATTCTCCCTGGTGTGAGTAGTTGAGAACTCAGTGCAGCGTTGTAGTGCACACTGAAGGTCCCCTCTGCTTGGGGTGCCGCTGTGGGAGCCGGGGAGGGGGAGTGCTGCCTGGGAGGGAGGATACTGCTTCCCAGTTCCTGTGTTCAGCACCTCCTGCTGCTGTGGGCTGTGAACAGGGTTCCTCACTGCATGCGGTAGCTTGACATACCTAGACCCAAGGAAAATAATGTCTTTTTAACCCAGAAAATACTGTCTAAACCTAATTTCAGGTTGTCCTGTGTCTGAGAATAGTCCCAACAGCACAGGTGTGTAGAAGACCTGAGACTTGTGTAAAGAATATCTTAAATATCTGTTCTGTTATTACCTTAGGTCCTAAACCTTGAAAGGAATCTTTTAAAATGTCTTCCACACTCTATAGGAGACCTTGCCCAGCTCCAGATGCTCAGTGTGAAAGGTATGGCACTTGTTTCTAGTCGGTGCTGTGGGCAAAGCATCATTTATTATCCGGGTCATGTTGAGCTGCAGCAGTAATTGTTCCTTTTGAGCAAAGCAAGCACCAGGTGGTTTACACTGTGAACACTAAGGAAGAACACAAGAAAGATCGGAATTCAAGCAGTTGGCAGGGCAGGAGAAATCACCTAAGCTGAAAATGACTCTTAAAAATTCCCCAAGTTATTAGGAGTAACTAGGGTTGTTCGGCTGCTTCTTAGCAAACGCACTCACTGGCTGCCTTGGTTCCCTGCTGTGGGGTTCAGCTCATGGCTCTTGGGACAAACGTGCTCCAGCTGATGTTTTCATTCAGCTCATTTTCTCAAGGGAGACATGGTCGGGGCATCATGCCTGCTCCATGTCCATGGAGCATGGGACCCACTGCGAGCTGGGAGCACTGTGTGTGCCCTGCAAGGAGTCCCAGGCCAGGGTTTGTCCTCTGCTGGGTGATAATTTAGACCAGCCTAAGAAATCCGTCTGTGCAGATTCCAGTGTAAGAAAATGAGTAGGTGTTTGGCAGAAGCAGTTCAGCCAATTGAGCAGAGCAGTCATCCTGGATAAACTGGGTCCACCGACACCTGGAGCTCAGCTCTGTGAGCCTGTGTAGCCCCACCAGGTTTGCTCAGCCTTAACACAGAGGTCACAACCGTTCCTCTTTTTAAGACTCCTGGACATTTTCCAGATAGGCAGTGCCATAAATCTGGGAGAAAAAGGAGACTTTGTTACTGGGAGCTGTTGCTGAAACGGGAGGAAATGAAGGGTGAGGAGCTTGGGAGTGCAGCTCAGTTCATTGCTGTATCTGTCTGCAGCACCTGGCCTCTGACCCTTAGATGTGCAGTCCCACACTCAGTCCCCTTTCTCCCATCTCTGGTACTTGCACCGGAGGGAAGAAGGCTCTGTGTTACAAATACTCTCCCGTGAAGAGCACAGATCCAGCCTGCAGCAGGGACCTGAGCTCAGAGGGTCGTTTCGGCATGAGGAACTGCTGCTGGGCTTGTGCACGTGGGTTGTGTGCAAGTAGATCTTGATCTCCATTTGCCTTGCTGGGCAATGGCAGCCTTTGGGGCGCTCCTGTGACCCATGGCAGCCCCATCCTGGCAGTGGAGTACAGAAAATGAGTCAGTTGTATGGTTGTGTTCCAGCAGATGAACTTGCTGGGTGCCGTGCTGGAAAAGTGGCGTGGTACTAAATGACTTCTCTCTCTCTAGGTAACAAGCTGAAGGAGCTGCCCGCTACAGTGAGCGGCTTGCGGAGTTTGCGCACACTGGATATCAGCGAGAACGCGCTGCAGGAGCTGCCGCGGGTGTTGGCTCACATCCGCACGCTGGAGGTACGCACCCAGCCGGCCCTGTCTCTCGCTCCCCTTCGCTGGCGGTTTGCTCTGCTGCAGCCTGCTTCCCTTCCTCCTTGCTCAATACGATACTAAATTTAGCATAGAAAGTGAATTTTTAGGGCTTGGGCAGGACCCAGTGTGGGGATTTTAACAAGGCTATATGCAGTTGATGGTCCCAAAATAGCTTTTGCATGTCCTTCCTGCTCTGCTCTTTTCTGATCACTTTTTGCTAAGGTGTAACCATGGCAAAAGTAATCCCCAGGGAGTGACCCCAGGTGTTTTCTGCCAGAGCTGCCCCTCTGGGAGCACGAACTCTGCCTGTGGGCGCACGTTGACTCAGCCGCTTTCCACCAAGACTGATTCTAAATGAGCAGATGGGATGCTTCCGACGAGGTTTTTGCCGCCGCTGCCGTGATGGATCTCTGACTCATTGTCAGCCTCTGTAGATTTCTGGCTCCCTGGAGCCTGCCCATTCAAAATGGGACAAGCATCAAGATTTTTATGGATGTGTTACCTTCTGGCTGCCAAACCTGTCAGTACTAACCTGTCAGGCAACAGGGCGGTCTCAGACCCCAGCATGGAGGATGGGAATAAATGCTCTCCTGCCTCGAACACCCGACATCAGGCTTCACTTCTGCTGGGGGCAGTCTCTGTGCAGCTTGCTCCCCTGTGCTTGATGAAGTGATTCCATTCTGGGCCTTCTGTTAAGCCCTTCTCTGCAGGAGGCAACGTGAGGGCTTTTTCGTGGCCACAGTAGGAAGAAAGAGCAAGTGGTCCTTCCGCTTGTTCTTACTGGCACCCCTCCTCTCCCCATGCCCGTTACATCACCAGCCCTTGCATGTGTCATGCTTAAGGGCTCCAGCATACAGAATTTAGTAGAATATTTTTGTAACTGAGAAGCACAGTGCCCTCTTGTGTTTAAATCCGAAGCAGAGATGTCTTCATGAGGGAGATGAAGGAAGCTCAGAAGCTCCCAAATAAGAGGCAGTGGAGTCACCTCTGAAAGGTGTCAAACACCCGATGGAAACTCAATGCAAACTTGTATTTATGTCAGAATTTAGGGTAATGTGAAATTACCACTCTGTAAGTGATGTTCGGGGAGCTGCAAAGATAACTGCAGCTGGACTCTGGTTGGGCCACCAGCATAACCTGCAGCTCTGTGTGTTCTCTTTTGGAGACGCTGACCTTGGATGCTTCTTCCATGACCTACCCACCGCCTGATGTTTGCGGGGCAGGTACGGAGTCCATTCAGCAGTTCCTCTGCAAAGGTAAGCTGGGAGAGCCTGCGGATGAGAACGCGGGGGTCTGCACTGGGCTCTCACTAGGTGCTGGGGTGTGCTCGGAGATTGCCTTAATGAAGAATAAACATGGGGTTGGCTCTGCCTGTGGTGGTTTCTGATGCACACGTGGCAGGCTGGGCAGGCAGCAAAACAGGAGCCCTCCCTTGAGACTTGGTTCTTACTGTCACACTGAAATCTGTCATGATTTTGTTAGAAGACCAGAATAACTGAGCCAGAGACTGTCTGAGTGACCATAAGAAGTCATTTCATCTCCCTGAGTCTGTGCTTTCTTAAGTGGGAGGATTAGGTATTGTCCAGGTCTGGCTGCCCTGAGACAAGGAGATAGAGCCCGCAGTCGCTCAAGGTCCCTTCTACCCTCATTTTCTGTGAGAAGGGACTTGAGGGCTGCAGACTGATGGTTTGTTCAAAGAAAGATGAAAACAGATGGAAAACTCAGAGGACAAAAGTAATGTGCTATGAGTTTGTAAACACCGAGTTTGGTACAGATGGGAGGGTTTAGAAGAGGCTTTATGCAGGGGAGGTGCCTGGCCAGACATGGTGCTAATCCCTGAAATAAAAGGTCAGTCAGCACTTATGGGCAGTAACGTTTGCAGCCTTGCAGACATCAACATACCTGTACCCGTGTGAAGGAGGCATTTCTCTCCTAGCTTTGGTTGTCTTCCTGGTGGGAAGAGGGCAGCACTGTCTCCTCTCAGCGTCCCGCTGTCGAGCCTGCCGGAGCTGGGGGAGCCCTTTCGGGCGCTCAGCTGTGCGTGAGGAGAGGGGGCACAGCTGGAAGCAGCCTCACGCACCAGCCAGCCCTCAGCCATGCTGCCAAGGAGGTCTTTAAGCACCAAATGTTCTTGTTTTGTGTCTGATACCTTCCAGAGTGTGGAATTGCGTACTATCCTCCCTCGCAGTATCCGCTCCCCGCGCTGGAGAGTGATGGAGGAGGGACGTCAGGGGATGGGGTGGACGGGGCAGTGCAGAAGTACTTGGAGGAGGAGAGCAAGTGGCAGGTGAGGCTGCACCACGTGTGAAGTTGTGCGAGAGGGTTTTGGATTTGTCTGTCTGCTCCATCAATGGATCTCACAGCCCTTAGCACACTATCCCTCATCACCTTCCCGCCACGAGATGTGTCTTTTAGGCCCCAGGGAGCACCAGTGCCCAGCAGCAGGCATAGGGCATGGGGCTCGTCTCCTCCCTGACGGTGGGGATGGTGTTACCTCACTGACTCCTGGAAAACACATTGGAAAGGCCTGTCCCTGTCCTTGAAAGCAGTGATGCAATCAGGGCCGGGGGTGACAATGTGACACCGTGTGTGTCGCATGGTAACACGTGTGGTTTTTTGGGGGGACAGCAAACTCTAGAAGAACCTCGTGATTCCCAGCCAAGTGCCGGGTGTGTTCAGCCCTACCTGGGGAAGGTGAGGCTAGAGCTGTAGTTCTGACAAGCTGTGTTATCTCTGTGCTGTTCAGCATGTACGGAGTAAACGTCTTTGCCCCTGGAGAAGCATGAAGGACCCAACTTTGTGGCTGCGTTAATCTTCTTGTGCCTTTGGTTGGTGTCTTTATTCAGACAGGGGAAGATATAATGTGGGCTAATAATATCTACAAAGAATTTCTTCTGGGAGTAAATCTCTACTAATATTGCTTATCTTTCAGAACAAATTCTTGGATTATGAGAAGAGGAAGGTAAGGATGAACCCTGCAAATGCTTTGTCTGCAGAATAGCTCCACCTTTTTTTCATGCTTTCCATCCCTTTATCCAGTTTCTTAGCCAAAACTGAATGTTTTGAGAACTGAGTTCTTGCAGACCCCCCAGCACTGCTCACTCCTCACTGCAGAAGACAGGTGGGAGCGTGGGGGAATCACACAGCCGATGAGCTGCAGCCTCTCATGAGCGAGCGCTTCGGATTTAAATCAGTGTTTGCAGAGCTGGGTCGGGGGGCTCTCGCACCAGGTGGCTTTTTTCTTGCCTCTCAGTGCTGAAAGCCGTGATGGCTTTTCACATGAGTTGGGCAGGCGTGTGTGAGCAGTCCCTGCACAGACTGCTCAGTACGTCCCTGCCCCAAACTCCAGCCCGTACATGGCTCTTACCTTGGCCCTTTGCCTCCTAGTGCCACCGTTCCTGCTCTCTCTCGGCGTTCCTTGTTTCTGTCCTCCGTTCCCCTCACCTGGCTGCATTTTAGTTTGCTCTTCTTTTTAGTTCATTGGTCTTTGTTCCCCTGTGCAAGGCTCACTTTGAATAATCAGAAGCTCTTGTCATGCAGTTCACCTCTCCCCTTGGCTAGAGCTGTTGGCAGCTGGCTGCTGCCTTCGCTGTTGACTTCAGACAAGGGCGCCCCTTGCCACCTGGGGTTGCGCATCACCTTAATTCTGCGCTTCCCGCTGGATGCCTGTAGCGGCTGTTTCAGTTGTGTGGGTTGGTGCCCATGGACTTCGGCTTTGTGACTTTGAAATGAGTCAGTTTGGAGACCGCAGCAGCTTCTGCTTCACAGTGTTTGGGTTCTTAAGGAGGGAATATTCCATCCCCTGGTCAAGCCTCCTCTTTGCCCTTTGGCTTGCTTTCTTGTAGACTCGGGGCTTACTGTGCCTTGTTTTATGTTTGTGGCAGAACGCGTTCTTGCTCGGGATGGAGCACAGGCAGCACTTTAATGATTTCTGGCATTCATCTTCCTCCTCTCAGGAAAAAAAAATGCAGGAGAAGCTGGAATTTGAGTGGCGCCTGAGCATGGGGCAAAGAGAACACGCTCTGCTTGTTCAGCAGATCAACAGTCAGAAGGATGAGATACTGCAGACAGTGAGAGAGGTAGGTCTGCTCTGGGCAGGCCCTCTGCAATACACTGCCTTTCCTAAACCGACTGCTTTCTCCTTTGGTTCTCTTTTACCTCGGCCTAGGACCAGATGAGGCTGGAGGAGGGTCTGACGAAGCACCAGCGCTCTTTGGAGGAGGAGCGCCTGAAGCTGCTGCAGCAGTTGAAGCAAGCGGAGCAAGGCATTGCCAGCCGTATCCAGAAGCTGCTAGAGGACAACCAGAGGTAGGGCCCTAGGGTGTCTTGCACTGATTTGTGTCCCTCAGGAGCTCATGTTATTTTGTCCCATTCTGGGCAGTTCATTGTGCCCTTTCTGCATGCTATGGAACTGGTCAGGATCCATGTCTGTAGCTGGTGCCTTGGCTGTTGAACTGACAAAGTCCCTTTTAAAGGAAATGGAATTTGACACCTTAAGAATCTGTGTTTCGGACATATGTGTGCTGTTGGAGTTTTGCAGTGCTATGGAAAACATTTGAATTCCTCACAGAAGATGCACATTTGGCATATTTGCACGTTCCGCTGCGTAGGTCTGCTGGATGTCCTGCTGGGCTGGTGCTGCCGCAGGGCTACCAGCCCGCTTAGAGCTGCTCTTCTGTGCATGAGAAGCAGAGTCTTTTTCTGCCCGCTGGGTGAGTAGGATGTCCTGCTTGGATTGATGAAAACCTCTTATTTTATCTTTTTTTTTAGGCAAAACCAAAATTCAGACATTCTGAAATCCTTGGAGAATGAGAGGTGAGTCTTCTCGAAATAAGCTCTTCTAGAAAAGGGGCAAGAAGCTGGGAAGAGGGCTGGGACCTTCCTTTCAAAACCACCACTCAACCCACCTTAAGTCAGGGGAGGTTCATCGCATACCTGCAGCTGGTACTGGTCACTGCTGGAGGCAGAACACTGGGCTAGATGTGCCTGCCCTTACCCAGTGTGGCAAACCCAATGGGGTGGTGACTTTACCTCCTTTTCATCTCTGAGTGGTCCTAATTAAGGATTTTCAGAACAAGACCCTGTATTCCACTGTCAAGGACCCACAGAAATCCTACGTCTGTTGGAAAGCAAGGCATTGATGAGGATGGCCCAGTGATGTGTGCAGGCTGGGAGGAGTACATTGAAAGCAATTCTGCCATTCACCCAACCCTCTGAACTGACTTTGCCACCAAAATCGGTTGTCCCCTGCTCTCCCCTGCCTATATGCTTCCCCCCCTCCTCTGCCAACTGTTTGCGCTGCAGCACAGCAAAGGGGATGGCGACACTGACCTGGCTGACACGAATCCCACTGTAGGTCAGATAGCTCTCCAGCCACACCAGTTCCTGATCTGTTAAGTGGCGTTGTGTGTACTGGAACAAGGACAGGGAAGGTGGGAATGGAGGCCAGGCTGCTGCTTTCAGTGGCACTGCTCACTTAGGTCAGCTCTAAAGTGCTTGTCAAGCCCCAAGAGAAAGGAAAGCAAGAAAAGGGACTGGCACCGTGGCTGGTGAGAGTGCCTGCACATCACATAGATGTTCTGTTCCTCAGGAAGATCAGCCTTCCAGGCTAAGAAGCAATTGTACCCATGCTTTTGAGCAAACTTGATGTTGTCTCCCATAGACGTAGGTGTTCCTTACCAAGAAATCACTGATTTCATATCTCTGCTAAGCCCTTGGCTTTCCTGAGCAGGCGACAGGGTGAGTCTGCCCAGCCTCTGGGCTCTGAGCTGGGCGGGTGGAGAGGTGAGAGTGCTTCTTTGCAGGGGTGGCTGAATTGGTCTCTTTTGCTTGGCAGAATAAGGATGGAACAGCTGATGGCAATAACGCAGGAGGAGACGGAGCATCTACGCAGAAGGGAAGTGGCCTGTAAGTCCAGACAGCGCCGGGGGGGTGAGGTGCAGGAAAGCCCCGGTTCCTCTGGAGATGCGCTGAATGGGTGGCTCCCTGTGCTCTGTCACGTGCATTCCTTTTGTGTGCATGCTCTGTGCATGGTGCAGCGGGGCAGAGCTGCAGGGGGGAGCGCTGCACGTGTGCCACTGCTGACCCACTGCTTCCACCGTCAGCTCGCTGCCGGTTCTCCTTGAGCTGCAGGCCGTGCTCCCTGTGTAGCTGCAGCAGGTCACACAAGGGGTTGGTGAGACTGGATGTAAGCACACAAAGCGCTCTGTATCTCAGTGGTAGCAGAAGTTAACTGCTCAGGATGGTGAGGCAGGAGGCGTGTGGTAAACAAGAATGGTGCCAGGGAGCCTTTTCTGCTCATGATGACCATGAACAGACCTGGGGTTGCAAGGGAAGTGGTGTGTGTGTTGGCACCCCAAGGGTGTGTTACTCTGAGAGGGATGGGCAGAGCTGCAGCCTGGCTGTGGGTCGGTAGGCAGTGACTGGGCTCCTCTGAGTGCTGGAGAGATGCAAGCACAAACAGAGTGGAATTTTTTCAGCTCATTTCCCAATAAGTAGCTACAATTCTTACAGCTGAATGAGTCTGCTCTGAAATAAATGAAATGTAAAAAGCAAGGACAGGTAGGAAATGAGAGAGAAGGGATGGTTAATTGCAAGTGATTGTAGCAGCAGTGGTAGATGAGCGCCTACTCTAGACACCGTGACGCAGACTGACGGCACTTCTGTCTCCTAGCTGCCATGCAACAAATGCTGGCCGAGAGCTACAAGAACAAGCTCATCCAGATGACCTACGAGTCTCGTCGGCAAGACCTCGTCAACCAGGCCTGCTCCAGGTACAGCGGGAGATGTCTGGGGCTGGTGGCACTGTTGTAAAGTCCCTTTCTTGCCAGCAGTCCTGCTGTAATTGCCATATATACACCCAGGAATTCCTGCAGCCACTGGAATGCAGCAGGACAGCTGTGTAAGAGCAGGTGACATTGCGATTTAAAAACTGTCAAACTTGATTAAATGAACCACCTTCTGTCCACACGAGTGTGCATGTTAATCACACCTTGGATGAACTGTCACTTTTTTTCGCTATTTTACTTTATACATTCTGCTAAATATGAAGGATGAAATCAGACTGGTCTTGTTCCTGTTTTGTTAGCCAGTTCAGTGTCAGACTCTGGCACAGAACTCCTTTCCTCACCTCCAGGGTTGTCTCGAGGATGCTGTTTGCATAGACATAGGACTTGTTGCACTGCTGTAGGTACAGAGAGCGTTCTGGCTCTCAGCATTTACAAGATTGTGAGGAATGTCAATCTGGCAACATCTGGCACTGAACAGAAACAACCTCGTGTACCTGTGACATGCCCAGCAGCGGGCAGACACGATCCTGCCTGCAAGTGCAGGCTATACATGGCCGCATTGTCGGGGTCTCCTTCGTCAGCACGCCCCTTCAGTGCAGCACACGGGTGTGCAAGTCCCTCACCTGAGCACTTGCTGGGGCGGCAGCAGCCCCTGCTTGGCCTTGGAGCTGTGCACATGCAGACAGCGGTGCTCCTGCTCTGGCTTGGTCTGTGGTGCAGGTTGGGTTTGGTTGTAGGGAAGGAGGTTTTAAATCTGTCAGCCTTCAGTAACCCTTGTTCAGTAGCAACTGTCTCCACCCCTGGATCCCCTGTTGTCTGCTTTTCCTCTCGTTTGCATCAAGAGTCTCAGGCCTAGCAGTAACTCCATGGCAAATCCATCTTCTTGCAGCCTAGCTGAGATGGACCAGAAGTTCCAGCAAATCCTGGCTTGGCAACAACTGGATCAGAACAAAGCCGTTAGTCAGATCTTGCAGCAGGTAGGCCAGGGAGCAAACTGCTTAGGGGGGGATCAAGGGAAAGCAGCTGCACGCAGAAGCAGGATTGAGAGTGGATCACAGAAGCAGTGGTGGCAGGGCTGGGTGATTTTCTGGGATACTGTGAGCTAAACTTTGAGAATCTCTGTTGTTCTAACAGCCTGCCTTGGGTGGCTGAAAGGAAGATGTGTTTATATTTTAACTAGACAGCAGGTTTTCAGAAAGGACAGCAGCAGAGACCGTAAGAAGGAAAACTGGTGTCATGATTAATAGAGAGGATTTTGAGATAGAAGCCCTCTCTTTTTGGTAGGTTTCCTGGGTGACTTGGGGCAAGCTGTCTACAGGAAGGTTTTCAAAGCCTCTGCTCCTTTTGAATACCTCATTTTGAACCCGAGACCTCTCATTTTTCAGAAGTGCTGAGCAGTCATGTGTTGTTTCACACCTGGGTGCTCAGTGCTGCTGAAAATGAGCGTTGGGGCTCATGCAGAGCATTCAGAATGTGTGTGTGTGAAGAACTCGACTGTAACTTCTGTGTTGGGATGGTGGGATCTAAATCATGGTGCAGTCAGGACACTTGCAGAGTTCGGGTGCTTGCACAGGAGCCGCTGCAAGGTAGCAGTTTCTCAGCCCATGTGCAGCTGCAGGAGAAACCTCACTAAGCACGATGCTGTCTGTCCCTTAGATTGAGATGCAGAAAGCTGCCTTTGAAGCTCTCCAGGTGAAGAAGGATCTTATGCACAGGCAGATCAGGAACCAGGTGAGTCAGCAACAGAGGGAAAAGCAACCAGTCCCTCAGCTCATACCGCCATTCGATGAGACTTCTGAGGAAGATCCACACACTGTGAGCATAGAGCAGCGTCTGGAGGAAATGAAGAGCTCTTGTATTGCGAAGAGCTCTGTAACAAAGTGTTGGGCAGTGCTGGTTGGTTACACTACAGTCTCCCAGCTCCACAGGAGGGTTTTAGATTCAGGGGAGCGGTGGAATTGCCGTTGCTTCAGTCGTCTCAGCACTACTGTGAAGTGCTGGCGAGTGGTCACTAGAGGCCAGACTTGCATTGGCTCCGTGGGGGTGGTCTGCAGTTGCAGGCACATTCCCTTCGGGTTGTGTACTTAGCAGGGCTGCTGTTTCCACCACTGCATCTCCATCCACATCGGAACTGCACCTTGAGCCATGAGTTCACCTTTTCTTTCCCATTCTTAGCCTACCTCTCCGAGCTCCATTCTGCAGAAGGTGCAATGAGATAGTCAGGGGGAAGAGCGAGAGCTGGTGGAGAGGGTAGTGGTGGTTGATGCACGAAAATGGGAAAGTGGCGGTGGTTGATGCGCGAAGATGGGGGCTGGTTTCTGACACGGTGCTCCAGAATCTTCCCTCTCCTGATCTAACGGTAGCAGAAAAGTCTCAGGTCAGGATTTCTTGGTGGATAAGCTTGAGAGCTTGAATATACTGAGTGACCAATCTCTGCATTGTGCTGGAAGCCTATGGACGGTGCACGGACAACCCAGGACTTGAGTCCAAGAACTCTCCATTGCTTGGGTTCACACTAAGAGCCCTGTGGTTTGCTCGCACTTGCTCTGTAAACACAGGGAGTTTGTTCCTTGATAGCGTGGCAGGACCTTTTACTGTTGAAATCCAGGCCAGCCCACAAGCATCCTGCATGGGCAGAGAGTGGGCAGGAGCCCTGGGAACCGCCTGCTGCAGCAGTTCCGTGGTCGGTGGCACGCGTTAAGCAGTGTGGCCTGGGGATGGTAGATGGCCTGGCAGATAGGTGAACTGGGCTCTCGGCTTGGCTTTGCTGTGGGATCTTGGGCAACTCATTCCACCTCTCTGTGTCTCAGCTGCCCCACCTGAAAGAGTACGTATCATTATGGGATGTGCTGGAGCATCTAGAAACCAGGACCGTGCCCCAGTTAACCTGCAGTTGGAGCAGTGGTGCTAGGAGGGCTCAGACAATCAGCTGCCTTCCGGAGCGGCTGCAAAAGGTCTGGATGAACGAACTGATTGCAGTGTGCTTCCAGACAGGTGTTGAGAGCAGAGAGACGATTAGAGAGTGGGGGACACAGCTCCCTGGGCAGGAGGTGACGAGCGACCCTAAGAGCGTGTGTCACAGAAGGACATTAGCAGGTTCCCCAAACTTCTGGGCAGCTCTGCAGTGCTGTCCCTCCCAGGGCAGCAGTTAGACCTCATTTTAAAAGAGCATAAATTAAAGTCTTTTCAAATGTCAGTAAAAAATGTTTCATCTTCTGTTTAGATTAAATTAATAGAAACAGAGTTATTGCAGTTGACACAGCTGGAGTTAAAGAGGCAAGAACTGGACACAGAGACGCTGCAGGTATGTAGGGCTCTGGGGCTGCCCCACCACCCTCTCTCTGCTCTGGGATCGCAAAAGCTCCACTTGCTTCTTTTGCTCCTTGCAGTTTCCACATGGTTTTACGTTTAGTCAGGAGGGTACTTGCCCACAGGACACCACAACGTGGTAACGTGGGAACACGGCTGCTGCTCCTACACATCTGCAGGCACTTTCAGGGGAGAGACAAACGAGCTGGCCCTGATAGCAGTGGGCAGTCCCAGGTTTGCTGGGGGAAGGATTTTGCGATCCAGTTGTTGGCTGTCCCGGAAACACCTGCCTGCCGCGCATCGCATGCCTTCTTACATTGCTGTGTGGTGTTTTGGTTCTAAATCCCTGCCAGTGACGGCCGTCAGCTCTCCCCCATCGTTTGTCTCCCAGGCTGCTCTGCCCCACCATCCCACCATTCAATGGGCTGACTTCATCAGCAGTCACACAGTGAGGAATATCAAGTTTGGCTTGGCTTTAGATTTCGTTATTACGCCTTTGTGTCAGTTGTTTTCTCGTGTGCTATTTGCCAGGTAGGTCACCTGTTTAGCGAGCCCAAAATCAGTAGCAGACACCACGTACGTGCCCAGAGTAGTGACCCAGCAGGCTGGTAGTGCTGCCTTGAGACAGGATTGCTGCTGAGCCCTGTGCTGGGCACCTCGGGGCGTGAGATCTGAGTTATGCCACCTTAACTCGTGCAGCTCCTCTGTGTAACGCTGCAGTGCTGGAGGCCTGATGGTGGGGGATGGCCCCAGGTTCATGCAGGGCAGACTGAGGAACCCAGGCAGGTGTAGACCGAGTGACACGGGACTTGGGCAATCCCTGTTAGGTGACCTCAGGAGCTCTGGAGGGGGGCAGGAGACGAGGCTCTGCACTCTCAGAACAGTGCCTTTGCAGCTTCTGCACACCAGGAAATGAGATGTAAGACAGCCTCATCGCTCCGGATACCTTGGCAGTCTAGAGCCCAAAGGTCCCTGCTGTGTCTGAACCCCCCGTGCCCACAAAGTGCTTTGGCAGAAGCTTTTCTGCTGTCACGCTCGATACCTCCCGTGCAGCAGACAGTTGTTTCTCCCCCAGCATACAGGTGCTTTAGTAGCGTGCTTGATAAATCGCTGGAAAGTGGAAGCACCAAAAGCACCCTGAGAAAGAGAGAGGTTAGCACAAGTCTTGTGAGGTCGGTTTGGGAGAGAGCGATCCCAGCGAGGCATCCGCGGCGCAGGTGGGCAGGAGAGCTCATCTCAGGGTTAGCCGAAGGGTTTCTCGTCTGGAGCAGCTCCCGCGTGTCGTTGGTTGGCCCTCTGGTCTCTGTGGAGGTCCTGATGCAGAAGAGCCTCCCTGCCTCCATCGGGGCAAAGCATCTCTGATCAGCTCATGGTGGGTTTGCTGGGAGAGGCAGGCATTCCCGTCTCCTGCTTAAACAGTGGGCCTTGGCCCCGTGCAGGGTCCAGCTGTGAATTGGCGAAGGTTTCCGCACCATTCTGTTGGGGGTCAGCCTTCTAACAACACCGTGCCCCTTTGTCCGTGGACACCTGAAGTCCTCGTGGCCGATGGCTTCAGGCCTCTGCTCGGTTAATGATCCTCCCAGGAGGTGCCAGCTGGCTGGGGCCGAACCATGCAGAGATGCCACATGGTCTGACATCGCTGAGACAATCGCCCTCTCCTCATTTCCAGCGGCGTGGCTGCCGTCACGGCTGACCTTGCCCTGGTACCCGCCGGGGCCTGGTGCGAGACCCCAGTGACGGCAAGCTTCCCGAAGGCGCGGGGAGGTTGCTGCCTTACCTGTCCTGCGTAGCGGCAGGCATCTAGACTCGGTTTCACGTGCTCTTTCAGTTGAGGAGGGGGACCACGAGCGCTTGTAACGCCACTGACAGAACTTCTGATGGAGTGATGAGGAGCTGCTGTGGGTCTGGGGCTGCCCGGGGTGTGCTGGGGGTTGGCACCACCGGGTAACAGTTGGTGCAGGACTGGAAGAAACGGGGCAGCTCGGGTTTGCTGTGCCGGCTGCTAGGGGAGGATCCAGGCTGGCTGCTCCGCCGGGCCGGGGGCCCGGGGGGGAC